AAAATTTTAATACATGTGCCAGACTTACTCTAACTAACTATGTCAATATTGCTGTTGACCAAAAGTGAACTAGAGTCACAACATGAGCTAATTGCATCCGGTGCCTCTCTTGTCCAGTCATATGTCCACTAAGAACTAGAAAAAAAAACATGATTAAGCATTATTGATTTTGGCAAGGAATGATCCCAGGTAAGCCACCCATTCTCCAATAAGGGATGTTCAGTGTCGTGATTTTTCAGTGACATGATTAATGGATGCTGTCGATTCCAACATGTCACCGTATAAACAATCTTGTATTGAACTGCATGTTTGGAAACAAATGTATCAACAATCATGATTTTTTGGTTACATGATTAATGAATGAGTATCGATTCCAACATGCCACTGTATAAACAATCATGTATATTAAACTACTAGAAACAAATGTATCGATAATCATGCAACTTTGCTTATTCAAGTTGTATATATGCTGGTTTTTCTAAGTGAATGCATGTACATACCTTTTTGAATGCAAGTAAAATTGTTTTCTTATATCTGAAACTTTTTAGTAAGATATTTATTGTGCTTGTGCTGATGGCCACGTGGATACATCCTTAAACTGTCCAGCTTGAATAGAAGATTATTTCCCTGTGCTAAAATTTCATGCTGAATTGCTGATAGTATAGCATGTGCCTGAACTTTCTAGGTTATGTGCCACTGATGATGCTTGCTTTTCTGCTTTGTTTAAGGGCCAATTTGAGTTAGCTTCTTGGGAAGGCTCTGAAGAACCATTTGCACATCATGTGAAGTTCAGATAGCCACACCTAAGCTTCTTTAGGCATTCCTGGAAAGTGAGGTGAGCATTTGAGTTCAGATTTAGTTAAAATGACAGGTTATTATTATATATGTTTGGTTGTATGTGTGTACTCCTGTTAGTTCAGATTTAGTCAATACCTATTGTTTATTGCTTGACAAAGGGATGTATTTTAATTTTGTAAAGAATTTGATTGCTAAATGGATGAAACATGTTGTATCAAAATTTCTTTACATTGTGTGCATGAATTACTAAATCTAGTTTACTAATATCCCGATCTTATTCTTTTGGTGAATAGGTGGGCAGATTTTGTGTGGGAGGCCCAGAATCTAGCGAAGACACAATTGAGATCATGACCGGTTGCATTGCTAGGAAGTCCGCAAGTGCTGCATAGATGTTAGGAAGTCTTGTACTGCTGAAAGTTTTAAACAGTCATGAAATTCTATGTACCGTACACTCCTTTATTATTTTAGATACTACAATGGTTTATCAACTTGTTAAATGATTTATTATAATTAATAAATGTGAGTGCAATCATTTTTATTATGGTTTATTGTTTTTGCAATGATGATTTATTAAACTACAATTCAAATGCTACTAGCGTGCAATACAATATATGCCAACGAACTCTTATGCGTGGCAATATGATCTATGGCGACGAACTAACTTGCGTGGCAATACGATCTCTCATAACGAATAAAATTACGTGGCAAATATTAATATTGCCACGGCACAGCAATCGTGGCAATAATGTATGATCTCTTGCAACGAATAAAATTATGTGGCAAATGGTGTACTTTCCACGGCATGGAGGTCGTTCCAATAACACCTTAGGCAATAAAATTCTAGCGCGGCAATACAGACTATTGCAACGACGTTGTTCGTGGCAAATGTCTCTATTGCTACGCTATTGATCGTTGCATGTATCACCTCTTGCTACTAAGACGGGCGTGGCAAGTGCTTATATTGCCACGACCGTGAACATTGCGATAACATCCTATTGCCATGCTCGGCAACGGACACCTATGGTTGCAAGAAACCCCAACACCTGCAATGCCAAACTAGCAATGGTTATTGCAACGTGACTTTTTGCAACCATTGGCAACGCACACGATTTGGTTGCAACATCTACCTTTTGCAACCAAATTGGGCCTATTGCCACGTTTTTTCGCCATTGCGCAAGGATTATAAGTTAGTAGGTAGTGGCATGGATGTTGCTGCAGTTGATACAGGTGCCATGATTCACCTGTTCCTGCGAATGTATGGCTAGGTGAAAACCCTGTCCGGTTTCCTCCGGGCCGCGCGATGGCGCAGGCTGCATCATCTACCTTCTTGGAGGCGTCGTCGAAGTTTCTGTTTGTCAGGGCAGGCCGGCCCGCGGCTCTTGCTGCGGTGCAGAGCATGATGCTGGGCACGTCATGGTACTTGCCGCTTGGGCACAACTAATGCGTTGCGCACGGCCTGGTAGTCGTGTGGCCTGTTGCAGCTGGTGGTGGTGGCCGACCAAGTCCGGCGTGGCGGGTTGGTATGGAATCTGGGCGAAAGCCTTATTCGGCTTTGGTCCTATTCGGCGACGATGGAGCAACTGGCGTCATGCCCCTCCCTGGAGGCGTCGTTGAAGATTCTTCCACTGCTACCTGCTCGACAGAGTTGTGTCTCTGGGTGAAAGACCCCCTGCTTCGGCCTACGATGGTGGCGTCTGTGGATGTCACTTTCCTTGTTGAAGGCGTCGTTGCGGCCACCTATGTCTCCGATGCCACTTTGAGCTCTCCCGGTCCTCTCCACTCCCCTCATATCCCTTTCCTTTCTTGGTGTGTGCCTCCCTGCTCCTTGCTCCCCTCTTGGGTGAGACTGGCCCTGGCTGTCGGTCGTTGCTAATGTTTCAACGAGTGTCCTCCTCTGGCGTCTCTGTTCCGTCGGTGCTCTCCTTGATGGTGCTAGAAAATCTAATGCCGGGTGGTGTTTCCACCGTTGCCGCCATTCCCCTCCAAGGTTTCCTCCCCATGGACAGCGTTGAATGGTGGTACATGGGCCCGGAAGTGTTGTAGGTGTCACCATCAGTTTCAAGGGAGGTCGCCATGTCCGGTGATCTTGGGCTTGCGTGTCCGTCACCACTCTTAGTCCCCATTCCACTAGTTGGTCCTCACATGGAGGGCGGCAACGGAGCGGCGTAGCTACGAGGAGTGGTGCAGGGCACAATGGCCACGGCGAAACCGGCGAGTATGCTGTTCGGCGGTGGCGCAAATCTACGGTCGGTTGGCGTCTTTCGGCTTGTGTCTAGGATTATGCTTGTTGTTGTTGTTTCTATTAAGTGTTGTTGTAATCCCTCTCTCTCCCTCCTTCATGTACTTCTTTGACCTTCAAGGGTCGACCCCCTGTATTAGGTGCTTTGCACCTTTCCACCCACCAGCTTGCCGGGATCTGTGGAAATGAAATTAGGTGGGGATCGATTTGATCCCCCCGTAGTTGACCTAAAAAAAATACTAAGAGAAGCTCCAGTATTGTTCCAAATCAAACTGTGGGCAGGTCCAAAGGAACAATAAACACTAGAGCATACAAACCGTTGGTGTCAGACCAGAAATCAAACTCCGTAGATGAGTCGAACCGAGGGACTAAAATAACAAATCCCCTACACGACATGGAGAGAGACAAAGAGAGAGAGGAAATGATGAATGCGAACTCTTCCACCTCGCTATGAGAGAGATTTCTATGACATATAGACCTCACATATCGATGTATACGTTGGAGCTGTCAAACTCTTGCTTTCTTTGATTTCACGGTTTGATTTAGCACTACAGGTGCACTAATACATGCTTGATATACTTCCTGCTAGTCTTTGAAGAAAACCGCAATAGATCAACTATCCCGTCCAATGGAGCACCCCCATTCGTAAATGGAGGTATATATAGTTTCCACAATTGTCCTTGTATTTTAAATTATAGTTCACTTTGATTTTATCCTAAATAAATCTCTTTAACTTTGAATACACCAACATCTAGAACATCAAATTAGTTTTGTTAAATTTTTTATGAAATATGTTTTGACTGATCATTTGTTTAAACTTGTAGATATTAATATATTCTATAAAAACTTAATCAAGGTTTTCAAAAAAATTGATTTAGGATAAATCTAAAGTGAACTATAAGATTACGTGTTCAACTAGATTTAAGGTATAACTTTTAAGCCCGATTATATTGAAATAGAATAGCTATACATATATTTGTGGCACTTGGTTGTCTTCTTGGCCTCTAGTACTCAACATTTGATTATTTATTTTTCTCAGAAAAAGAATGCATTCATTAATCAGAAGAACGATAATTTTTTTTGGTGGTTGTGGGTCAGCATCACGCGCTGTATACCGTTAGGGCATCTCTAATAGCAAGAGAGTGAGGTATCGTCATCGACCCTTAAATATCATATGATCATGTATGATTTATATTTGAGGTTTCTTTATTCATATATTATCTCTTCTATATCAAAAAGAGAGATATGATCGAGGAGTTATGTCTCTCTTGTATTAAGACGCACAAAGAGTTTAGCTCTTCTCACGCTGCTAGCTGAAAGAGTGAAAGGTGACATCTCTCTTTTCCGTGACATCTAATACTATCTTAGAACTAACACTAAAACTGCGCTTATATTCATGTTGGAAAATTTTGTGTATTCTGTAGACACTTGCACTTGATTTTCTGTTTTGTACAGTAACTTATTTTCACAATTTCAAGTTTTTCTATATGTAATTACATTAAACAGTTAATCACTCCTATTACCGTGAATCAAAAAGTTGTGTGAAGTAGATAGCCAGCAGGTAGGGTAGTATATATATTTTAAGATGCATGCACCAGCATTTAAGGAGAATATTGATTAATAGTAACAAGCACCATTCTTATATAGCAAAACCATTAATAACTATCCGAACAATTAGGTCGATCGGAGCCACTGAAGAGTGTAGTAGCTGTTCACACACACAACACTCGCATACATGACTACTTGAGCACATGAGAAGCTAGCTATGTAGCACTGCAGGCCACACATACATATAGCCATGTATATGCGCACGTGTACACAGTGCACACGGTTACATACATAATACTGTATAATAATATTATATAGATACTGCATGCTGCTCCTCCTGTTACTACAACTTATTTTTTATTTTCCTGGCTTGCTAGCTTCATCACGTGCACCGGTACTTACGTGGTAGCTTTGATCATTTAGCTGACCCTGCATGCGCCAATGATTTGAGAAAATTAAAAACATACTACAAGATTATTGATGAAAGAGATGGATTACGATGATAGATAGCAAGATTAGTACGTACTTGTTGCAGTCGGTAGACATGCTGATGGGGAAAGGCACGGAGACGCCGCACTTGCCGGGGATGGTGGCGACGGGACGGTGTTGGCGAGGCTCTTGAGGCAGCGGCAGCACGCCGCCTGGCGGTCCGCGCTGGTACGCGCCTGGTTGTTGAGACTGCGCACGCCGCTGCAGCACGTGGAAAGGAGCGCGCTGGCCCTCCCCGTCGCGTACGGAATACACGGAGCCAACGCCGTCCCCACCTGCCCGCACGTGATCGCCGCCGACGGGGACGACGCCAGCAGCGCCACCACCACGGCCAGTGTCACCACCGTCTTCCTGCTGCTGCTGTTCAGCACAGCCATCGTCGTCGTCGTGAGAGAGTCCGAGACGTGTGTGAACCATCCGAGGCACTACTGGAAACTGGACTTTGTCGAGTGCACGAGGCTTTGCCGAGTGCTTTTTATCGGCGCACTCGGCAAAATAAAGCACTCGGCAAAGGTGGCTTTGCCGAGTGCCAGGCACTCGGTAAAGCCTGGCTCTCGACAGCACTCGGCAAAGATCCCACTCGGCAAAAGGTGGCCGGCCCGTGACGGCGGCCACCTGCCGTTAGATTTTGCCGAGTGCCTAACGGCTGGCACTCGGCAATTTTTTTTTATTTTTAAAAACTTATTTTGCCGAGTGCCTCCTGGGCCAGCACTCGGCAAAATATATTTTTTTTTATTTTGGGCCCAACTTTTTTTCTGGGGCCTTGTGACAGTATTTCAAACTCTATTTTAAAATTTTGGGCAATTTTGAGTTTTTTTTGATATATTTCATTAGTTTATTTCGTTTCGTCGAATTTTTGAGGATATTTCAAATTTGAACTGCAGGTACATGGAATAATGGACTTTGGTCATTCAAAAATTGATACTCATGATATTTAGGGTATGTTTAGGCAGTATCCAGTAACTCACGTGAAATCTCGAGTATCTCGTTGATGTAACATGTCGTGGTACTTGCTGGAAATGTGATTTTAAATTATATAAAATGCAAACGAAGTCCGAAAATCACGAAACTTGTCGAGGCGTCGTGTTATCGCATGTGGAGACTGTGATAAAAAATTGAGAAGGTTTCGAGCAAGTTGTGATGTCGGATGCCAAAAATCCAGACATCTCCATATCAGATATCACATGTCGAGATGTCCTGGTTTGTAAGCATCGTACGTGACAACGTGCACGAAAACTTCTGAAATTTTTATCATAGCCTCCACATATGATATCACGACATCTCAACAAGTTTCATGATTTTCGGACTTCGTTTGCTTTTTATAGAATTTAAAAACACTTCGCACGCAAGTTCGCGGTCATGTTTCGTGAACAAGATGTCCGAAATTTCGGGTCCGTTCCTGGATACGGCCTCACACTACACTCAGTAACATGGCCATCAATTTTTGAATCATTAAATTCTATTATTCGTACCACGTGCAGTTCAAATTTATATTTTTCGAAAAAATCCAAGTAAACGAAATAAAGTAACTAAATATATCAAAAAGCAACAAAAAAATCCTCAAATTCTAACAAGGAGTTCCTGGTGCTTTAAAAGGGCTGCACAAAAAATTTGGAGGCCAAAAATAAAAAAACTTTGCCGAGCGCCGGGGCATGGCAGTCGGCAGAGGGGGTCTTTGCCAAGTGACAAGAATAAGGCGCTCGGCAAAGATGATTTTTTATTTTTTTTAGAAATTTCCTCTTTGCCGAGTGCCTCCACAGAAGCATTCGATAAAAAAATTTCAAAAAAAAATTAAATCTTTGTCGAGTGCCAGATCAGGGACACTCAACAAAGGAGGATTTAAAAAACCCTCCACCGTGTCGGCCCCTGCCTTCACGCCCTCCCTTCCGAGCCCGATGCTTCTCCTCCCGCGAAACGCCGCTTCCACCGTGTCGGCCCCTGCCTTCCCTTCCTCTCTCTCCCTCTGCCTCCCTCTCTCTCTCTCCTGGCGTCAAGGTGTGCCAGTCCAGCCCCACCGCCGCCGCTTCCCCGCGCGAAGCGCTGGCTGGGCGACGGCGCCCCCGGGCAGCGCCGGCGTCGGCCCCGGCGGCGGCCTATGCCTGTCCCCGGCCATGGCGCGGCGAGGCGAGCCCCACCGGTGGCCGTCGGCCTGCCTACCCCCGCCGCTGCCTCCTCCGTCTGCTCCGCGTGTGCTCATATGCTACAAGTGCTACAGGAAACCCTACCTGCCTACACGAAACCCTAACTATTGGTTCCGCTCAGGTCAGCTCTCGCTCGTTCATTCTCGTCTGGTAGGCCTACGTCTCTTCTGATTTCACGTGTCCTAGGGTTAAGTCCCATGGTCGATGGGTCGATTTAGAATACCAGCAGAGTGATCATCTACCTGTTCACTCCAGTTGCGTTGCCATTCACGTACCTTGTTTAGAATTAATTTTCCTGTTGAATTTATGCATCTGTACGTCGATTTTGTTCTCATGGATATCGTCTACCGCCTGCTCTATCACTGCAGCAACAAGAAGGACAATTGGAATGCCTATGTATTTTGCTTGTACCTGTCTATTTGGTGCCTTTTTCTGTACTACAGCGATTTAAGCTCTGTCTGTCTCTCAAAATTAACCTATCTGAAATCATTACAATGCAGGGTCATGTGGTGGATTGTTATTTCAAAATGGTGAGTTCAACTATTTCAGATCCTATTTATTGTTCCTGAATATGAATACTTATATTTTGCAAAAATGGAATAAAATTCTTGTTTGGATGGTGAGTTCAGCTATTTCAGATCCTACTTGAATATGAATACTTATATTTTGCAAAGATGGAATAAATAAAGCATTGGAAAGGAGCACTGTCCCCTTCTATAAATCATAATTATTCAAATATATATGCATGTAGAATGTTCTGTTTCCTAATTTGGTGACAACTTTTCAGGTTTGGTTTCCTAGGTCATAGGATCAGCAAGATAATAAAGAAATTGGAAGCTACCTGCTACATTCTAGCAGCATGAAAAAGGTTAGCCTTGAGTCTATAATCTTCTTCCAATTATTACAGGTGTGTCACTGTTGTGTTGTAATTATTCCTTTTTGTTGCTCTTGTGCTCAGATACTGAATGTCAAGACTAAGGTGCTGCCTCATAAGGGAAGAGCTGATTTAGCTGGAAGCAATGAAGTGAGGAGGTCCCATGAGGATATGTGCTCTGTGAAGGTAAAAATTCCTCTCCTGCTACTAAGTATTCCAGTTTAGTGGGGATTGGATAGAGATAAAATTGAAGATGAAGTGTTACTGATATGAATCCTGTGGCATTTTTAGGAAGCAACTCCATATGTATCAGCTGCAGAATTGGTTAAGAAGTTTGAATCAGGGACCAGAAAGCTGAGCATTACTCACAGCAGATCTCGTTCTCATGTAAGTATTAATTTCCCATGTCTGTTGTACATTAGCTTGTCATATTACATGAAAGAATTTGCTTACATGAAAGAAGACTGTCTTACTTTAACTGCCTGCTAACTAGTTGCTGCCTTTTTCCTTAAGATTGCTGAAGCCCCTTCGTTTCCTCCACTTCCAAGGAAAACCCCACAGGTCCCCGAATTTAATGTGCGTATTCTATCATAGTGGGAAATTCTTGAATGAAAGGCTCTTTTCATTGATTAATTCATTTGTTCCTTTGCGTCAACTACAGGAGTTCCATCTTAAAACAATGGAGAGAGCAACTCGATATGCGGACACATGTTCAGAAGTTTCTTGTGCAGAGACTATCCGTGTAAGTTCCTAGTTGCCTAGCTGCTGCATCTTAGGATGCTAGTTGTTATTAATTTTTTAGCTACAAAGTTCAATGTTTCAATCTTGCAGTCTCAAAATAAGCCACTGAAATTGACACAACCAAAGCCACCACAACTTCATACAGCAAAGAGAGTTCGGCCACCAAGGTTTGCTTTTGCCACACAAAATTGATGAACTGAAATCATTTTAACAGGCATCAGTCTTTTTTTTAATGCTAAATTCTAACATCATCTTTCAACAGTGTGAAAAGTTCTCAGGAACTTGAACTGGAGGAGCTGGAGAAGGCCCCCAAGTTCAAGGCCAGGCCACTAAACAAAAAGGTACTAACACTTGTCATAGATGAACAAAAATTGATTAGATTATGAGTTTGGAGCTTCAGTTTTGGGCTCCATGTCATGCAGATTCTTGAGAGTAAGGGAGACATTGGTGTGCTTGCCCATCCAAAGTCTCAGGTCACAGCTCCCAAGGAGTTCCATTTCTCTACCGATGTTCGCTTGGGCCCTCCATCAGTTGCTGACTTATTTGACAAGGTATTTATCGACAGCCATATGGTAGTATAACCACTATATTGTTTTTTGGTCAAGATCTTATTAAGCACTTTATTATTTTTGCAGCTCTCTCTTCACTCTGAATGTTCTTCAAACAGCAACAGGCAAGATGTGCCCAGACTCACCATACCAAACCCTTTCAATCTACAAACAGAGGTTCGTGAGATGTGAATTTTTTAGAGTCACAGCATTTCTCATCATGTGTGCGCAACAGAATAATTATGCATCCCTGGTTGCAGGAAAGAGGTCATTTAAAAGAGAGGCAGCTAGAAGCACAGCTCTTGCAAAATAAGATGGAGGAAAAGGCCAGGGTTCACAAAGCTAATCCTTATCCATACACCACAGACTATCCGATGGTATGTGAAAAATTTACTCTGAACATTTTCAGTTGGCACCATTTCTTTGATTTGATTATTGTGCCATCTGATGGGACATTTTCGAATACTACATTAATGTGAAACAGGTCTTCGAATACTGTTGTTCTTGATTGCGTTTACTGGGCAGTACGTACTACGTTATTGCAATCGGTTATGCGATAATCCTGAATCTTTCATTTGATTGGCTGGCTTGCAGAGACCCGCCATGGAGGCGGCGGCGCCGACCAGAACGGCCTGGTGCTCAGCGGGGCTCCTCGAGCTCCGGCTCGTGGACGTCGTGGTGCCAAGGGCAAGGTATGGGCGCCGGTGCTCGGCGTCGCTGGCGTCAGCCGGGGTCCCTTCTGGGTTCCCCTGGATGATGCTCGATTGAGACACGCCGGCTACATGGCGCAGCACGCCGTGGTCGGCCTTCCTGACGTCGGGGACCTGGAGGCGAGGCTCGGCGACCTGGGCGGAGGCGACCTGGTCGGAGGCGGCATGATCGTCGTCCTGGCCGCTGACGATGTCGTCCATCTCGGTCTCGCTGCACCCGAGACGCTCTGGCAGAACCTGCGGGGGCGCGTCGGGCTCGGGCAGGTGTTCCTCCCGCTCCGCGTCGTGGGAGGTGGACCAGATGCCGGCGGGGAGGTACGCCTCAATTCTTTCTTCTGACACAATTCATATTGTTTCAGTAGCCGTGACTAGAAGAATTTTTCAGTAGGATTCAGGTTCAGAGTTTTCCAGTAGTATTCATGTTCTGCACAGCAAATATGTGGATATTTTTCAGTAAAATTTGCAAGGCGCTCTCACTTCATGTGGTTAATAAATTGGAGTTTGTATCGCAAAATGCTCTCTGAGTTGAGAGGTTTGGTCGAATTGCACAAGTTTTATGAACTGTACCGTGTTGTTTCAGTTGTGGGATATAAAGAATGTATTCTCCTCTTTGCATTGTTTGACACTTATCTATGATTTTTTTTTCTGTTTGGTGGGATACAAAGATTGCGAAGATGCAAAGCGTAGTCTCCTCTTGCTTCAGATGCACAATTTGTCCACCTATCAGTTATCTCTGAATTTTGATTGGGGAGCGCAAATTACTACCACTGTATAGAAAGTGTATGTTTCAGTAAAATTTACAGTGTGCTTTGTGCTGCTCTGTGTTGGCAGAGGGAGCCGGAGCCAGAGCCGGAGGTGGAAGCGCCAACCCAGCCATTGGCCGTGCAGGCGATGGTGAGCCGGCTTGACATGCTGCACCAAGAATTTTTTTTAAAAAAAATTCAAACTTTGCCGAGTGCCGGCCAGAGGACACTCGGCAAAGAATTTTTTTAAAAAAATAAAAAATCTTTGCCGAGTGACTGAAGGGTTGGCACTCGGCAAATTTTTTTTTGTAATTCTCGGGGTCGCCCATGGCACTCGGCAAAGATTTTTCAGAAAAAAAATTCTTTGCCAAGTGCTTCGCCGCGGCACTCGGCAAAGTATTTTTTTTAAAAAAAATTCAGAAATTCTTTGCCGAGTGCCTAAACAGGGGCACTCGGCAAAGAAATTATTTAAAAAAAATAAAAAAAACTTTGCCAAGTGCCTGGGTAGGGGCACTCGGCAAAGTAATTTTTTTAAAAAAAATAAAAAAACTTTGCCGAGTGCCTGGGCAGGGGCACTCGGCAAAGTACTTTTAAAAAAAAATAAAAAAAAAGTTTGCCGAATGCTGGGTCGGACACTCGGCAAAATAACCGTTAACGGCCGGCGCCACAACGGCTGAAAATATTTTGCTGAGTGCCGCCCCAAGCACTCGGCAATTTTTTTTTTATTTTGCCGAGTGCCCGGATAAAAAGCACTCGGCAAAGACCCTTTGCCGAGAAAAAATTTGCCGAGCGGACTTTGCCGAGTGCTACACTCGGCAAAGCCTTTGCCGAGTGCAAAGGGCTCTTTGCCGAGTGTAAAAACACTCGGCAAAGCCGCGGCCTCCAGTAGTGAGGGTATCCGCTGATAACACATCTTAAGCATGACGTCAGAATTACACTTTACTGTCGGTTCAAAATATCCCATCACTGTTAGTTTTTGAACCGGCACAACTATACCGACAGTGATGAGGGTAAGCTACCACTGTCGGTTCCTATAAATCGGCATTGTTCTTCAACTTCACTGTCGATTCTTTATACAATCGGCAGAGTTCAGTTCCACCAACACTGCTGGATCATAAGACCATCCGGTATAGTTCATTTCCACCAACACTGTCGGTTTGTGTTTGAACCGACAGTGTTATCGTATGAATCACTGCCGGTTTGTGATAAGCACCGGCAGTGACGGCTAAGCCAACGCTGCCGGTTTGTGGCTCCAGCCGGCAGTGCCATCATTGCCGGTTTGTTGCTAACCGACAGTGATGTTTACGACAACACTGTCGGTTTTCTGCTAACCGGCAGTGATGTCACGTTCGTATTTTTATTGTTTTATAATTTATTTTAATTTATATTTTTTCGTGGAACCGGGTTTCGCTTTATATACGCTACTTAGACGACAGGTCCATCAATATTAAACATTACACATGTTATGGTTACAATTCAAATGTTCTTATGAAGATCTCGATCCCTCAAAATAAAAAAGAAATGTTCTCGGACGTCATAGATTGTGCAATGCTTCTCGGACTTCTTACAATAATCTAGCGAGCCGCTCTGGAACATACCGGTCCTTGAACTTCATGGATTGTGCAATGGAAAATATTCCATCTTTTTTCAATACCTCGGTTAAGATGAATTTTGCCAGCTCCGATTACAGCGCGACGATCTCCATGTCTAACAGTCTTTCGTGGTTATATTTCTTGCGATGTCGTTCAAAAAAGATGATATCCAAAGACGAATCAGTAAATCATTTTGTTGAATGATTAACAGACATAAATAAAATGGGGATTATACACACCAACTTATCGGCTTCTTCCGATTTCCCGCCGATGTAGCGAAGCATTGTCCACATTACATAAAACCCGCATTCATTGTTTTCCGCCGGCTGTTTTAGGTACTTTCCCTCCATTTTGACAACCTTGAATGGGACCTACGTCCCATCAATATATCTTATTCGGACACTGAGCAACATTAAAAGAAGAAACGTTAGAAAGTGGTACGTGTGATTAGAAAATAACATGTTATTAGGATCGTTTACTAATTCAGCACCGCCACCAGTGCATCCAGATGATGAAATGATTTTTTCTTCGAGTCCCACACCTCGATCATATTTTTGGCAAGATTAACACAAATAAAGACAAAATGGTGGCTGCAATCACAGAATCCTAATTATCGAATAATCTTAACGAAAAAAGAAGCATAAAATTAAAAACCGAGAACACATACTCGCAGTTGTAGGCTAAAAGTATGTGAGTGTTCTTCATCTTGAATTCATCGAAAACAGTAATCAATCTCTGTTTCAGGTCTTCCACATCACATCGATGGAGGCCTAGACATGTCTTCTCATTGACTCGCAAGGGGTCTAAGAAGCCTATGTTATCCCATTTGCTTTGTAGAATGCAAAATTTTACTATACATCTACATAAAATCATGTGAAGTGCTCAAAAGTTAACAATTTATATCCCGAGAGAGTAGTTAATTATAATATCGTGCGTGTAGGGTACTTACATAGTCCACATCATCAATATTTGTGTATCGAGAGAGTGTTTCTAGTATAGCTGGAGCAAGCACTCCCACTCGACATCGAATTTCTCTTCTTCAAGATAATTAAAAATATGTGGTGAACGGATAATAACCTCAAAACCAAAGTCTTCCGTCTCTGTTGTTTGAGCCATGTAATATTCATGCAACTGGCGCATATATGTTGTCAAATTTTTATACTCGTGATCGGGAACCAAAAGATTGCCCCTTTCATACTTCATTGCCGGTGTTGCCGTCCCTTGTACATCATAATAGATGGTCACGGCCTCTTCCATGGTTAATTCGGGGTTGTCTTCGACGAACTTCTATATCTTCCTTAAATTTTCATTGTGTATTTCATCGACTCTTGTTGTAGCGTACTAATTCTATGTTTGCCTTTCGAATTCGAACTTCAACAAAAACGGAGGTAGTAAGGCACAGAGATTGAAGAAACTAATACAATCTTCCTTCGAGATGTGTGCTGTAAATTTTTCTTCCATCAAGTTTGTAACGCTGCCACTGAACGGCCTTTTTCTTTTTTGTTGGTCCACTTTGGGAGCATTAGCGACTGAATCCAAGAACCTTTTTTGCGACTACGAGGATGCCTTTGATCTTGTTTTGGGCTGAGGTGGAGGAGGAGGAGGATGACGACGAGAATTATGTTTTCCCAGGGCTGATGAAGATGGACGGGGAGGAGGAGGAGGAGTCTCTTTTCTCAGGGCTGATGAAGATGGAGTCAGACGAGGAGGAATAGAAGGAGACCTCTGTCTTCTCGAGGGTGATGGCAAGGGATGAGGAGGGGAATGATCTCTGTTGGGAGATGGTGAGTGATCATCGTGGGTGGGCGAAGACTTGCAATCGTCCTCATCATCAGAGGACAATTGGTGGTCAAGCTTAATGAAGCGCTTGCGCCAGGCCTCTTGAGAGCCCTTGTTATGATCAAGTTTCGGCCTGTCTTCCGCTACGGGGTACTCAATGTGTATCTTGTTATACTTCTTATCAAGTATTCTGTCAATGGTGATATGAGCGTACCCCTGTGGAATTGGGCGGTCATTAATGGTCCCGTCTCCCGCAGGCCAGGCCTGGCCGAGCACCACCTTGTCCTTTGTCCATTCCTGACGGATATACAACTTGACATTGACGGGTTCAGTGATGCCGTCCACCGAATGAGGCACATTCGCATCTTCTTCATCGAGCGGGGTCGATCCGCAGCTGCTGTGACCCCTAAACTGTAGACTAAAGGCAGTAGGAGTAGGGTTTTGTGGTACTCCTGACCCCTTGGACGGCAAAATTTGCTGGACTCGTGCTTCAATAGTCGCCTCAATCCGTGCGTGCATTCTTTCTTCCATCTCTTTCAGTCGCCTCAAATACTCTGTCTCCTAATCCGCTCTACCCCTCGAGCGGCTCCGGTAAGTGTTAGATTCTTGGGAGAATGCTAGTTTCCAAGAAACAACACCGGTTCCTCTAGTGCGACCAGGGTGCTCCTTGGTTCTGAGTGCTTGGGTGAGCACGTCTTTCTCCCTATTAGAAGTGCAAGTCCCTTGCCTCACCTCCTCAGTTACCTGGGAGATCCTTTGGATGAGTTCGCTCATGGGTTGATTTGTGGAGCTAAAGCTCCCGTCCTCTGCGTGGCATACATTCCTCCCCATATAGTATATTACCGATCTTGGCTCCCAATCGACGGTCTCAACTTGAATGCCTTTCTCAGCAAGGCGATCCATATTTTCAAGTTCTGCTTCAAATTCTGGCATCTTTTTGGCATAGCCACGAGAGCCGAGATGACAAGGATTCATCGCTTTCTGCAAGTTCTCCTTATTCTTCCTGCTCAGTTCTAAGTACACCTCGGATAACCTGTATTCCTTGAAATCCTGCCAGAAGTCCTTCTGCTTGCTAAACTGTCCACCATCGAAATCTGACTCTTTATTTTGGAGGACAAAATTCTTGTACAATGTCCCCTTGAAATTCTTGAAGCATGTCCCCATGATTTCTTTTGTTTTTTTCTTGACTAACTCCTTGTCATACTCCGTTGGGAAAGTGAAATAC